AATAATGAATTTCATTTGAGGTGATGCTGCAGTGAGTTCTAGAATTTAGCTACGTGCGGCTCAAAGTGCCCTAAAAGAAGCGCCGATACTGATTTTTTAACGTGCAGGATGGGGGGGGGGGAGAGCGGGCTGATCATGTTCCCCGCCCGTCACGCTTCCTGGAGCTGGTGAGCGCGTTTCTGGGACGCGTGGTTTTGATGCGTAGAAAGCAGGTGACGCCTTTCCGACTACATCGTGCTTTTATCAGCTGGCGTGGCGCAAAGGCTTCGGCGCATCCCGGTGTGCCTTGATGCGGACAGCATGACGCTTTGCTTGTCCACTGGTACGACACTTTTAGTATTATTGCTGCTTCCTCCACCTCCGGTATTTTGTAAATATATCATTATCTGGTATCGTGTTGTATATCTATGTTCTAGTTTTGTTTTTCATGTGCTTTGCATCCGGTACATCACAACGTATGCACTGAAATTATTAGTTTGCACGGAGTTGTAATCTTTTTTCCTATGGCCCGCATCTCAGACATGGGCAGAATCGTCGGTCTTCCGAACGAGTTGTTCTCACACCAACCTGCTCACCTTATGTTCATGGTGAGTTCAGAATGTCGTATGTCGTCGTCACGCGTTCAATATTCAGCTAGTTCAGGGGAGTTAAAGCGTCAATCAAGACAAGACGACTGTCACATTTTCAATTCAAGGTCCAACTTGGTAGGCTCACTTGTGAAGATAATGGATACCGTGACCGAATGTCATGTGACGTTTAGACTAGAATGGCGAGCAAATGAGTCCAAAATATGTCTTGGTGACCGAACAAAGTAAAGGAAAAAGCATTTTTTGCAAGATTTTAAGATATTTCGAACCCAGCAAGCACAGTTTACATTCCAACACACAGAACGCCTCGAGAAGCAAGACGTAAGTATCTAGGAAAGCTGGATGAGCATTAGCCCGAGAACAACGCTAGCGCCATCTGTAAACCAGGCGTTGGTACTAGAAGCGCCACCTAGGTTAGCGTTGCAACGCCTGTTCAAAATGACTTGCGATTCAAGGCCAAAGCACCAAGCTTTAAAAGCACACCTGGCGTACGAGAGACCACACGTTTTGTCTACCGCTGAAAGCGTTTCAGCCGTCTGTACCCTCTCAATCTACAAAGTTGTCTCTGAAAAAACCCTTCCTGTGGGCTCACAATGCTTTGCCTTGTCCAGGTGCCCCGCCGTGACGTCACAGCGGGGTTGCCAGATATACTTTGAGGGCCCTGGAAAATGATCCGCTCGAGAGATGGATTTCACTTCACCCAAACGTTACCGGTTGACTTCGGCCATTTAGGCATTATAAGCTCCTTAAGCGTAGGAACTACCACCCGGTCGAAATGTTGACGTTTGAAAGTCAATTTTTACAGTCATATTATGATCAAATGACGGGGAGTTCCATATCGCCCAAAATTGCAGCTAAGTTCAGATTTTACAACATCGGAATACAATCGGCGTAGAAACTAACGTATGCCAAAACGTCTTGACATCTCAACGTAAATCGTTAAGATCAACTTCAAGATTAAAGTGGCATTGAAACTCGATATCAACAACAACTTAGGCATCGCTTTCCAATTTTCAAGGGTTGAAATATTCTTCAGAACGTATCTCAATGTATGTGACAAGTATCGCGACAATTCACCTTAAATTTTTCCTTCAGTGACTTCGAAAGTTCAAAAGTTTTGAACGAACGCTCTTGTTTTGGTCTGAAAAAGATACGGATGTTTTTCACCCTGCATTTAAACATGTACATATATGTATGCATATATATGCATTTGTGACCTTCACTAATTGACCTTAGTTTTGACCTAATGATGCCAAAACCTTTCAACGCAGGCAATTTGATGCACTGAAGTGGATTCTGACACTCAAAAATCTGGAAATTGGCTGACTAATTTCGGGAAAAATCTTCGTTCCGGTCAACTGTCATCTGGAATGTTGACCTTGAGAGGTTCGGACTTTTCGATGGTCGGTAGCTGAATGCGCTCAAACAGACCCTGATACTTCAAATCCGAAGTCAGCTGTTATCTTTTGGGTGCAGTTGGGTCTTCGCTGGTCTGACATTGTATTTCACTTCGCAGTTCTGTACGCAACAGAATAGTCATCTGGGTCGGATCGTGCAATGGACTAGTGAATGCCTACATGATCCAATTAACAGTGAATTTAGCAGTGAGCAGTGACTAGCTCCAGCGGAGTGATGGAAAAATCGGTGCATCGACGATTAAACGTGAACTCGGCACACGGAGTATCACCAGCTCACGCCCTCCTGAGCGAGCCAGGTGCGCTGGAAGCCCGAACTCTCAAGGCTCAAGATCGATCAGGCCCAGGGGGCGGAGGCCTGTACCCAGCAGCAAACCGAGCGAGAACCCCAGCGCGCCCAGCAGTAAGCTAACCGAGAACCCCGACGCGATAGGCGTCAAGCGGAGAGAGAATCCCAGTGCGACTGGAAGCAAGCAGCAGAGCTGGTGCAGCACGATACAGACGAGCATAAGAGGAACCAGCGCGATCCCCAGTAAGGCTCCCTGGTCAAAGACCGGTGTGCGAGCATCGGGGCCCGAGCGACGCAGAAAAGCTCAGCCATCTGTAGACTTGCCTGGCAAGACAGGCCCATGACGCGGAAGAGTTTTGCTCTGGGGTGGAGAGCTTTACAACGCCCTCGCTTTACAACGCCCTGGAAACTCGCCCTCAGCGAGCTCGTGCGCCAGTTTCGAGGCCTCGGGCAGGTGGTGCGGGCCAGTCTGGCCCGCTGCTGGCCACCCCTCCAGTAAAAAGCAACAACGTCAGCCCCCTGCGTTCCCTGGCACGGCTCCACACAGCACAGCAGAGGTAATGGGCTAGATGAGGCGTAACGTCAACCTGGTTGCAATAGCCAACTTTCGGCAGGTCGGCGCCAAGCTTACCACGCTGTGGCCTGGCGCTGGGACAAACAAAGGACCAGCAGTCGCGCCGTGTGGCTGGCACGCCCCCGCTCGGACGCCTGGCTGCGTTTCTACGTCGACGTAGCCCGTGCCGTCGACTTCTCGGGACCTGATGACGGCCACAAAATCAAGGACCAGTTAAGGTCACGATCATGCAACCGTCGCAAACACGGTGCGTTTACGATATTGACCAAAGCTGTGGCCTAGTCGTGGGGATAGTCAGTATGTGGACGCATGGAGAGCGGCCAGTTCCATGCAGTATTTGACTGTCTATCATTTGCGGGGGTCAGTGTCAGTGAGTGCGCCGATGTAGTGCGGCGCCATAGACTGTGCTGAGTCTCCCGACTGACGGATGCGTGGCGCGCCACCGCCTGTTTCAAAGCCCGTGCGAGGAGACCCTGGAATGCCGAGAGTGGCAGCATGCGATGCTTCGCGGAACTCCGCGCGTGGTCCCGACTCCGTGGGCCGGCGTGCCACACACAGCAGACGATAGCCCTGAGCGTGCCGGCCTCATATGCACAGCCACCAGCACCAGTCGGGGCCGACACCGTCCATCTGATTTGTGATGATTGGGGTTTTAGGGCGCGCCGACTTATAGGGTCATTTTGCGCCCGTCCATCTGGTTGTGTCTCTAGATGTTTGACAGGGACTTGCCGGCGCCCCTAGTGAAGGGAGCCCCCACCTTGGCTGGTCGGTGACACGAATAATTCTCGGCCATTTCCTGCGGTCACAGCGCTAAAACTACCTCCGCGTGACCGAGGACTCGGAGCTGCACAAACAGGTCGCGCAGAGGCCCACTATCGAGACATTTTTGACGAAGTACACGAAATCCCCCATCGGTCAAAGCAAGCGAGGCAGCGCTACACACCGGGCCAGTGAATGCTTCGGGACTGGTGACGCTGCAGCGCTACACAGCGGGCCAGCGAACGCTTCGGGACTGGTGACGCTGCTGCGCGAGAGCGAGCCAGCGAGCGCTTCGGGACTGGTGACGCTGCAGCGCGTTACTGCGGAACCTCACTAAACAACGCCTCTCTGTCTTGACCAGACCTGACAAGCACTCCCGTCGGAGTCCTCATGCTGTTCCGTCGGCGTCTGGTCGCTTCCACTGCAGACATCAAGGCGATGTTCCACCAAGTCCGCGTACGACCGGCCGATCAGCCTGCTCTTTGCTTGCTCTGGCAAGATGCTGGTCGAGAGCGACCGCCCGACACGTAACGAGTGCAGGTGCTGAACCTGGGAGCGACGTTATCTCCTTGCTCGACCATGGTACGTCTTGCGGGCGCGTGCCGATAACCTGCAGAGTCTGCATCCGGCTGCAGTTGCAGCCGTGCACTCGTGGCTCTATGTGGACGATCGCCTGGACTCGGAGGACGTCAGCGAAGCCGCCACAATGCAGGGCATCTGACGGTGCGGCTGGGAGTGGAACGGGATGATCGCCGGCAAGCTTACGACCGCCTAGCGGCAGTCGGTCAGGGACCTGCCTAGACTGGTTGCTTGACAAGGTCGATTTTACCATGTGAAATGGTGACAAGGTCGACCGGTACCACTGAACCGACAGCAGTGTCCCGGCAAACAAGCGGTTTGGGTGTCATGACTTTGGTCATACGAAAGTAGCTTCCATTATTTCACCTTAATTGAGCTCGAAGGGTAGCCTCGAGGGCAGAACAGGCCTTTACTTTCTGTATAACTCGATGAGATCAACCTATGGATGAGGTTCTGGGGTCGATCTCTGGACGAAGTTTTAGGCATCAAGCACTGAATTATAATAATGATTTATCACCACTTTGTGGACGACTCCGCCTCACCACCTAAAGCTGCGGGATGAGCTCCTGCGTCTTATATGTGACACATCCAAAATAAACTACGATTACATTCATATAAATACACACAACATAGCTTCCCCTATAGTATACATTAATTTCCACCAATACACGGCTTCCAATAGGTTTTTGGGTCATGGATATTGAAATGGCAGTACAGTAGCGCTTTTCGCCTCGGGCGGTGCCACATGTGTGGATGTTTGTGTACATTCTGTATTTCGGCAGCCTGGGTTGCGTGTACCGGTGCGGGGCAGTTCGGCAGGGTTGCTCCGATAAGGATCCTTTGCGTGTTTGAGCCCGTATGTGTTCGGTTCGTTCTTGAGTTTTGTGGGGGACTGTTGACCCTTCAAGATGTTTTAACAAATCGCTGGAAATATCCCTTCGAGCTGGGATATATTGCTCACTGGATATCCTGCCTCACGGTCGTTGTTTCCTTTCCAAGCCAGCAATGCCCAAGCCCAGCAGGCGTTCATCCCATAAAGCTTCTAGGTACCAGCCTGGATGCCTACACAGTCTTTTATCCTTGGGGGAGACATAGGTTAACATGTCTCCAATTTTCCTAACAGGGTTTTTACCTTATATACCTTAGGTCTGTATGTACAAAACATTATGTGGTTTCCATTCTAAACACATTTTTGGTGCTAGGCTGCCCCAGAAGGCTTAAGTTTGACCTGCCTTTAATGTCTGAGATGAATGGATCCAAGGAAGCAAGATGGGCAACTGACCTCCAAGGAGATGTACTGTGGCAATGCCATCTTGCCCTCCTCCTTCAGAGGAGTTTGTAGTCGGCACCTTTTGTCTACTGACTGTTGCTCTAATGGCATTTGCAGCTTGGATCCACTCATACACATGACCATAGGTGAGAGTTTGTGATAGCCCATTGATGTTCTTCCAGGTCTGCCCCTCAAAAGAAGCAGCCCATCAGCAGCAGCAGCATGGGCATTCTTCAGCTGAGGCGAGGTCGCCTGTTGAAGCTGGCTAGTGTTACTCTCCTGGTGGTGATTGCTGTGCTCTTCCTGCTCCCCAGTCACAGGAAGCATCAAATGCCTGAAGCACTGCCACTGCAAGCCAATGTAGGTGTCAGCTCTTATACTAATAGACCATCACACAATCCTGAACTGAAGCCTGGAATGTGATGACGGACTGCAGCACGTCACAGTGATAGCATGTTGTCTTTGTGTCATTGACCCACCATGCCCCATCTCTTTGTCACTGATCTACCCTGCCTCATCCCTGTGTCACTGATCTGCTGCACCCCATCCTTATGTCACTGACCCACTATGTCCCATTAAATTGTCACTGACCTTTCCTGTCCCATCCCTGTTATTGACCTACCCCACCCTGTACTTGTATCACTGACCCACCCTGCCCCATCTCTATGTCACTGACTAGCCCCACTCCATCCCTGTGTTACTGACCTGCTCTACTCCATCCCTGTGTCACTGACTAGCCCTGCCTCATTCCTGTGTCACTGACTAGCCCTGCCCCATCCCTGTGTCACTTACTAGCCCTGCCCCATTTCTGTATCATAGACCAGTCTTGCCCCCTATCCCTGTGCCACCTACTTGCCCTGCCTCATTCCTGCATCACTGACATGCTCTGCTCCATCCATGCCTCACTGGCACACCATGCTCCATCTTTGTCACCGACCTGCCCTGCCCCATCCCTATGTCACTGACTCACCCCGCCCCACCTTGACGGCAGGTGGCGCCCGTGCGGCGGGCATCGGCACCAGTGTTCCATGCTGACAAGCTGGGCAACTACGAGCCGCATGCGGCACCCGAACGCACTGGGCCCGGGGAGGGTGGCCGCGCTCACCGCGTCAGCGCTGCCAAGCGGAACCTGGCCGGCCAGAGCGAGAATGAGTATGGCATGAACATGGCCGTGTCGGACGAGATCTCGCTGGACCGCAGCGTGCCTGACACCAGGGACCCCGAGTAAGTGTGCCGCGCTGGGGGCTCTAGGCGAGCTGCAGTGGGGCGGGGCAGGCCCTGGTCAGTAGTGGTGCCACGGATCTGCGTGTTCGGGGCGCTGTCTGAGTGAGCCCCGTCCCGCGGCTGGCCGGTCGCGACATATGCTGTCCCGCGGCTGGCCGGCCGCGGCTCACACTGTTCGTGGGCTGGGCAGGGTGTGACGTACGCTGTCCCGCGGCTGGCCGGCCGCGACGTACGCTGTTCGTGGGCTGGGCTGGTGTGCGTACGCTGTTCGTCAGCTTGGCAGGGCGTGATGTACGCTGTTTCGTCAGCTGGGCAGGGCGTGATGTACGCTGTTCTTTAGCTGGGCAGGGCGTGACGTACGCTGTTCGTCAGCTGGGCAGGGCGGATGTACGCTGTTCTTTAGCTGAGCAGGGCGTGACGTACGCTGTTCGTCAACTGGGCAGGGCGTGACGTGCGCTGTTCTTTAGCTGGGCAGGGCGTGATGTACGCTGTTCTTGAGCTGGGCAGGGCGTGACGTGCGCTGTTCTTTAGCTGGGCAGGGCGTGATGTACGCTGTTCTTTAGCTGGGCAGGGCGTGACGTACGCTGTTCGTCAACTGGGCAGGGCATGACGTACGCTGTTCTTGAGCTGGGCAGGGCGTGACGTACATTGTTCGTCTCTGTCGCGCCGGGTCGACCGTCCGTGGCGGGAGTGAAAGGACATAGGGCAAGGCTGCGCCGGGTCATCCGCAAGAGGCGGCGGTGAATGGTTGTCCCATGTTGCAGGTGTAAACACTGGGACTACCCGAAGGACCTGCCGTCAGCTTCAGTCATAATTGTGTTCCACAACGAGGGCTGGTCCACGCTGATGCGCACCGTGCACAGCGTCATCAACGGCACGCCCCAACAACTGCTCCACGAGATCGTCATGGTGGACGATTTCAGCGATAAAGGTAGACAATAAACGCAGCCAACGTCAGGAGCGTTGCTGACCAGTTTAAACCAAGCGCCATTTGATAGAGGTGTGTCGAGTGAGCACTAATTGTATCCCGTATTGACCAGATGGATAATGGATGGTTCATGACTCTAGCAGGTGGGCTGTGTGACCTCTTCAAATCAGATGCGACGTGCGGATGTCGTGGCGCGCAACACCGGCGTATCGCTCGTGATTAGAACACCATGCCAAGCCTACATACTGTTTTATGTTGTGCCTGACGAACACGCATTTTGAATGCGTATAACCCCAGAGTCGATATTTCCCGAAACAAGAGGTGAGATGGAGACTCTGAAGTAAACTGGTTCGACAGAATCCGTTTTTAGTTGTTTTGTTTCCTTTTGTTTTTTTTCCCGCTTCGCCCAGTTTATTTCCGTGCCAACTAAGACATTCAGAAAGATTAGAGCATGATGTTTGCCTACCATCAGTAGCACGTATCGTCTGAACATTGCGTACGCTGTCGCCGATTTTATGAGTGTCTGTGTTGGGCGGTTTGTGGTCTGTGCTGCCTTTCCCGCTGCGGCGGCTGAGTTCGTTGCCGTCGCCGTCCCCGACAGAGGATCTCAAGGACAAGCTGGACAACTACATCCGCCGCTTCAACGGTCTGGTTAAGTTGCACCGGAACACCGAGCGGGAGGGTTTGATCCGCACGCGCACGCGCGGCGCTCAGTTGGCCACCGGCGAGGTGATCCTCTTCCTGGACGCCCACTGTGAGGTCAACGCCAACTGGCTGCCGCCGCTGCTGGCGCCCATCGCCGCCGACAGGTGAGCGCGCGCCGCTCCGTCTCGATGATGTGTGCCGTAGTGCAGCGTGGTCCGAGGATGTCTGGTGCGGCCCACTACTGGACGGGTGAGCGCGCACCGCTCCGTCTCGGTGATGTGCGCCGTAGTGTAGCGTGGTCTGAGGATGTCTGGTGTGGCCCGCCGCTGGACGGGTGAGCGCGCGCCGCTCCGTCTCAGTGATGTGTGCCGTAGTGTAGCGTGGTCTGAGGATGTCTGGTGCGGCTCGCCGCTGGACGGGTGAGCGCGCGCCGCTCCGTCCCAGTGATGTGTGCCGTAGTGTAGCGTGGTCTGAGGATGTCTGGTGCGGCTCGCCGCTGGACGGGTGCTGACCGCGCCCGGTCAGCCTGCTGACGTGCGCTCGGCGCTTGTTTCCCTCAGGACGGTGATGACGGTGCCCATCATCGACGGCGTGGACCACAGCACGTTCGAGTACCGGCCCGTCTACCACTGGTCGTCCCGCTTCCGCGGCATCTTCGAGTGGGGCATGCTGTATAAGGAGAACGACATACCGGAGCGCGAGAGTAGCCAGCACAAGTACAAGTCGGAGCCGTACCGGTCAGTGCCCACGGGCTTTGGGGCTCGCAATACGGACTGGGTCTTGGAAGGTGCATCCCATCATGGTCAGAGTGTGATCGGGGTTGGGGTGCTCTTATTTATTGCATCGGTGCTGCTTGATCTTAATGATACGTGCGTGGAAAGGGAAGTTAATGCCTTTCATGTAGCAGAGCGCTGGAAGCGCTGGCAATACAAAAAATTAGGCGCAAAATGGCCAATGCAGTCGGCGCACCCGAAAACACCAATAAACAGCAACTGGTAATCAAAATCTGAGCCTCTCTGTTCCCAGAAGTTGTTGCAGACGAGGTGTCCGTTATGCCTCTGCATGGATATGGGTTATCCGGATTGGATCCGTGTCGACGGCGTCCACTAGCCGTCGGTGAGTCGGAGCCTGACGCCCTCCGCCTGCCGTTTCAGGTCACCCACCCACGCCGGTGGCCTGTTCGCCATGGATCGGTCATACTTCTTGGAGCTTGGCGCCTATGATCCGGGCCTACTGGTCTGGGGAGGCGAAAACTTTGAGCTGTCATTCAAGGTAGCGTGCCCCCTCGTCACATCCCGCAGCATAGGCTGGTTCGATAAAGAATGGGTGGCTTTTGTACAAAGACTGTTTGAGCGCGTTTCTCTTTTGAGGTTCAGTTACAGGCTCATTTTGGTTTTGGCCATGATTTTTCGGATTCATGTTGATGTATGTTGCGGGCTGGTGTGCCATTAGTGTTGGTCTTTGTAATTATGGCATCCTGTCGGTTCACGTGTGCGGCGCAGCGGTGTCGTCGCATATCCACACTGTTAGGCAGACCCGGCTGGTCGGCCACAGGCTCGCCTGGGTGCCCTCTGTGGGTCGTTCGTGTCCGACAGTGCCGTGTCTCATCAGAACACTGTGTGTCTGTCAGATCTGGCAGTGCGGAGGCAGTATAGTCTGGGTGCCCTGCTCTCGGGTCGGCCACGTCTACCGCGGCTTCATGCCGTACAGCTTCGGCAAACTGGCCGAGAAGAAGAAAGGTCCTCTCATCACTATTGTAAGTCAGCAACCTAACCTGACCTTACCTGTATATAATAGCGCGCCCTCATCACCTCCATTACTGCGTCCTGGACTGTTTGATACGCCTCCGTGTGCCTCAAATGTCCGCGCACGTTTTGCGCAGTTTTTTTTTTTAAAGTAAGTGCCAGCGTCAGACCGAAAACGACTGACGTTGGCCGCCGCCGCCATGTGATTGTTCTGCTCGCTGTTCGGGGTATGCGCAGTGTGGTGGCCACCCTCACCCAATGAAACGCTACCATAAGCCTGCACACCAGCTGGAGCCGGGGGCACAGTAACTCGTACTGATAGATGTTGTCAGTGACACTGATAGCTTCCCACTGAGCTGTACTTGGGTGCGTACAATTAACATGTGCTAATTGCTTGTAGAAATTGAGAACTACCGCATCACGGAGCGCCGCTCTGCTTAAATCGTTGATATGCAGTATAGTAAATACGCCTGGTGGGATGTTATCACTTGCGTAAGACTTCGTTCTGTTTTAATGGGTATTTACATGGCGCCTTCTCCCACCATGTTCAAAGGACATGGATTCCCCAATGTTCAAATCTAACTATAGCGTCTGTGTCTGCCTTGGGCCTCAGAACTACAAACGCGTGATCGAGACTTGGTTCGACGATAAGTACAAGGAGTACTTTTACACGCGTGAGCCGATGGCTCGCTTCCTGGACCACGGCGACATCAGCGAGCAGCTGGCCTTCAAGAAGCGACACAACTGCAAGAGCTTCCAGTGGTTCATGGAGAACGTGGCGTACGACGTGCCGGACAAGTTCCCCGAGCTGCCGCCTAACGTGCACTGGGGCGAGGTGAGCAGTCTGCGAGCGGCGGGCGGCGTCCGATTCGGCCCGAGCGGCCCGGGCGGCGGCCTGGCGGCTCGGTTCCGGGGCCGACTCATAGGTGCTGCTGGGCGCTCGGTGTAAGTAGCACGATTGTCAAGTATCGGGATGTTGCGGCTGTGAGTGGGGCTTGCATTGCTGAGGAAATGCCGCTAGCAAAATCATGTGGAATCAGCTGATTGGTGCGGTGAACCAGTCCCGAAGCCGGTGTTGCGTTAAATTAGGCCGGTTGGTGGTGAGATGGCTGGGCTGTTACCAGCTACCACGTGTCTGCTCATCTGTACCGTATCCTGTCGGTCATGCACCGCGCACAGACAGTAGTGTCTCGTCAAACGTGTATGAGGATTATGCGTTGTGGTGAGACCACTGTGTGCGATCGCCGACCGTTGTGAGACCACTGAGGTTCGAGCTAAAATTCCCGGTGGTGTATCTTACCTCAGCTACGTTAAATAGGTACAGTTCGTACTACTCTCACATATTCTCACTCAGCTTTCTTTCACCTCGCTTGAGTTCGCAGGATTAGTTTAAGTTTGCCAACCCATAGTTGCGGAAATGAGTGTCGCTGTAAAGTATCCGCAGTATCCGCGATGGCTAGTCCGTTTTCCGGTTAATTTAAACATGTTACATTTGTTACGTACCCGCACGAGACGCAAAGTGCTTCTGCTGTTGAACAGACGTTACATTTATTGTAACAGTCCGCGAGAGAATGAAAGCCTGTTGTGTGTGTATGTGCGAGACGAGTTGTGTTGCCAACGCCGGTGGCGCGCGCGGCAGACAGCCAGGTGGGCGTCTCCGTCCCTCTGTGACCCCCTCCCCCACCGGCAGCTGAAGAACGTGGCCGACCAGCGGTGTCTGGACACGATGGGCCAGCCGGCGCCCACCGCCATGGGTGCTTCGCCCTGCCACGGCTACGGCAACAACCAGCTGATTCGGCTGAACACAGCCGGCCAACTGTCGGTCGGCGAGCGCTGCGTGGAGGCCGACCGACACTCGGTGAAGCTGGCCTTCTGCCGGCTGGGCACCGTCAATGGCCCCTGGCAGTACAGCGAGGTACGTGGAGGTCGACTGACGCTCTGTGGAGCTGGCCTTCTGCCGGCTGGGCACCGTCAATGGCCCCTGGCAGTACAGCGAGGTACGTGGAGGTCAACTGACGCTCTGTGGAGCTGGCCTTCTGCCGGCTGGGCACCGTCAATGGCCCCTGGCAGTACAGCGAGGTAGTAAACGGTGTCGGTCGACTGCTTGTGTAGAACGGAGCATGGACCAACTCTGGCACGCCTGATACTGTGATGTCTTTTGAAGGTGAGTCTAATGATTGCTCAATGTGGCAACTGAGAATCGTGAGGCCACGACATTCCTAATTCGCCTGCGTTTTTTTTTTTCACTGAGTTCTGAAAGCTTTGATATTCCTCCGTTTATATTACCATGTTCTGCTTCCTTTTCACTTGACATACTGCCAACAGCATTTTGATATAGTAACAGCACAATCGAAGTGTGGTTTTATCTGACATTGGTGCATAAAGCAGTATCTGAACCTGGTGCACCTTAGTACCACAGACCATGGCTTCTGCTATGCATGGCTGCCTCGCTTATAACGGTGTGGATTGTGTTACCACGTAGAGGTGACAACAGCGTTGTTAATGGCTGTATGTTACGCACATCTCCAAGCTGTGTTGACAGCCAGATGGCAGACACTGTTTTAGCTGCTGGGCCGATTATCTGGCTTTTAGTGACAGGCTATTTGACAGGAATTGATGTAGGATACTTGTATTATATCATTGATGTATTGATCAATTTAAACGCCGGTATCTGCATGGATCTTAGCAAATTTTTGACTGCTTGCAATGGTTGTCAACCAATCCCAGTTCTCACTATAACCGTCTCAGTGGAATCATTATGATTCAGGTGATCTCAAGCAGCATGTGGCATGCGTCTTGTATTTGTATTTTCCTGTTCCCCGGAAAAGGAATTTTATCTTTGAGGATATTGCACTTAGCGTCAGATATGACGAAACAATCCCATTTGTAACTATTGGTATACTTTTAAGTAAATTTCTGTCAGGAAATATGCTGTTCGATACGTCATTGTTTGATCGCGTCATTGCACCTCGCACAACATTGAGAGCCAATCGACGGCCGTCATATTTGAAAATCGTGCCCATGAACGCCAGGAATGAACAACTCGATCATTATGTTTTTAGTAGCTTTGATTGCCGCATGCTTGATGGAATGCCAGGATTCAATGACTTTATGGTGGCGTTATGAATGCCAAGGTGACCTCGGCATATTCTCCACGAAATACCCTCCCCATTTTGGCGGGCGTGTAGCTAAAAAACTAGAGCAGTTTAGTCCTAAGGACAGGACTGAACTGCATCGAGAGGTCTTCAAAATGGCTATTTCAGTTGAAAACCCCGTAGAAAGGTGGAATGCTCTCTCTCTCTCTCACTGCCGTTAACGTATTAGAAGTTTACATAATGAGATACCTTATGTAAAATTTTGCCACTTTCCGCCAGCGTTTGCTGCCAGTAGATTCTTCCAGTCAGTCCTAGCCAGTAAAAGCTGGCTGGCTGAAGCCGTTATAGCCAGTGGCTGTCAACCCTGCTTTAGGATCTGTTCCATGTCCTTGTATGCTTCTTTACTGCTGGTGGTGGCGTAGTTGGTAGAGGATAGCACATCTCGGGGCCATGTCATAATAAATTTGTATGTTGACATCTTGTAGCGATGTTCCTCTCCGAACGTAGTCTGCGTTTCTGTTAGCCGCGTGTGGCGATTTGTTGATTAGTCTTCTTCAGCTGACGTTAGCTAAGCGTCTTATTAGCTAACATTAGGCCTACTTGAGCTGCAGGTCATTGTAGCTCACGGAAAACTGATGTCACGCAGCAAAACGCTGAAAACAGTTTTCATTGTCGTAGCCTGTTTCATGTTCGCTTCATTGAGGAGTGTTTTGGGAGACAACAGCGTGATGGTCGCATGGTGTCCGTTTTGGGAGACAACAGCGTGATGGTCGTATGGTGTGTGTTTTGGGAGACAACAGCGTGATGGTCGTATGGTGTGTGTTTTGGGAGACAACAGCGTGATGGTCGTGTGGTGTGTGTTTTGGGAGACAACAGCGTGATAGTCGTATGGTGTGTGTTTTGGGAGACAACAGCGTGATGGTCGTGTGGTGTGTGTTTTGGGAGACAACAGCGTGATGGTCGTGTGGTGTGTGTGTTGGGAGATAACAGTGTGATAGTCGTATGGTGTGTGTTTTGGAAGACAACAGCGTGATGGTCGTGTGGTGTGTGTTTTGGGAGACAACAGCGTGATGGTTGTGTGGTGTGTGTTTTGGGAGACAACAGCGTGATGGTCGTATGGTGTGTGTTTTGGGAGACAACAGCGTGATGGTCGTATGGTGTGTGTTTTGGGAGACAACAGCGTGATGGCCGTGTGGTGTGTTTTGGGAGACAACAGCGTGATGGTCGTGTGGTGTGTCAGTGATTTGTGGGTGTTGGGGGGGGGGGGGCATTCATTTTGTAGACCACGCGAATACTGTCAATGCACAAGCTTTGGCGTGCGTATTAAACATCAGGCAATAGATGCATTGTGTAAATTACTCACATAGATAGGCTCGCAAAGCGTACATGGATGTTCTGCGCCGGGTGAAGCTTCATTAGGTCTTTTGACCAGTGTGACTGTAGATGGGCATATACCTTCTAACACATGTTTAAGAACGGTTAAAATGTTCTATAGGTGATTAACGTCTGCTCATCTCCCAGCCGACGCCTACTGCCAGCGTAACGGGGTGCATGGTGTCATGTTGGTAGACGGCACCGGCCATGTCCAGTGGTATGCCCTGACTTAAGATGGTGTTGGGTCTATAACTTGCTTACATATACACAACTGAGGTGTATCCCACATCCGGACGTTCGGATTTCATTTGCGTTTGGCCGCAACATGACAGCTCATTTCGGAAGGGTGTGGGATGTAAGAGGATTATCTGGAGAGGCTTGACCGCTGGCCTAAGCTGTTAACGTCATCAGTGATAAGCAAGTCAGCAAGGTGTGGTGCATGGGTGGTATACCACCCAGAGATTATCCGTTATCATCCACGTCTGTTCGATCGCTTGATTATTCGGTAGTCATTCAGTGGGTTTTTTTAACGTCAACCCCAGCAAACGCTTTGTTAATGCTTCTTGAAAATGGACTTGTGTGGCTGTTGGGACGCGTGAGTCATGCCAGCCTCGTCGTGCAGCGGGCCTCTGACCGGCGCGGTCGCCCGCTCGCTCGCCGTGCGCGGAGGGGCCACGCTCGAGGCGTGGCGGAGCCGCTGCGTTCTTGGCTGGCTGGTACCGTTACGGCGACCGTTCTGTGCGGCTCTTGGCATCGGCTGCGTCCATAAACCGTGCGGCGGCTGGTGTCGGTCCCAGGAATCCGGAAGCGGGGATAACGACTGGGCACTGTGGCATTTTTTTCGGCGAAGTCCTGTAAGCTTTGATCGCAGGTATCAATGCAAAGCTCATACCAAATGCACATCTGCAGGCGTATATGTTCCATCAGCACGGTGTTTGTCGGCATGTTCGCGTTGCGACCGACCTCCGATTTCCGTTGCAGTCGAGCCAGACGATGTTCCATCGGACCTTGAAGGCATGCATGTCACTGGACCCAGGCTCGGGACAGCTGAAGATGCTGGAGTGCGACTCGCGTGACGCCTACAAGAAGTGGCAGTGGAAGCAGCTGACGCCGCGCTGGTGACGCGCCCCCAGCGGTGACATCTGGCGGCCGGCGAGGCGGCTCCGGTAGTGACACCTGGCGGTCTCTGCTGGACTGCGCGCCGCCGGACGGCCCGGCGGGCTGGTGATGTTCCGACTTCTCTGGGGCCTTGGGAGCGGGGAGGGTGGATAGTGCATTATAGGCTGTCTGTGGCTGGACCACGCGCAGCGGAGAGACGGCGCCGGCTGCCTGGGGCCGCACCGTGACGGCGAGCCGGCGCAGCTGGGGAGGCGCGGCGCCCGCTCCGTGGTGGACGGCTCGTGCAGCTGGCAGCAGTGTGTCGTGTTAGAGGGGTGGCGTCAGACCATGCGGTCCGGGGGACGGAGCCCCTCCATCACGTGATCCCGGACGTCCGCGTGCCATGCAGCTCCCGGCGGCCGTGATTCTCCGCTGCCGGCCAGCCCACTTTACATTCCAGTGTGGAGAGCTCGGTGCCCCGGGCTCCGTAGGACGGAAGAGGCCTGTTTCCGGCGGCGGACGCGGGCCGCGACGCTCAGTACCTTGGCTCCGACACGCTGTGGCAGCACTGCCGGCCCACTGTTGGACGCCGACACCCGGTCCGGTGCCCCGTCTTCGTGATCTACCCATCTTGGGTACTTGCCTCTCTGATGGCTCCTCTGATGACGCGTCTGGGGTGCTCTCTCTTCCCGCCGTGATCGTTCCGTTTAGGATACTCGCCTCCCCCTCCCCCTCCCCTCCCCCTCCCCCTCCCCTCCCCTCCCCTCCCCCTCCCCTTCCCCTCCCCCTCCCCCCTCACCGGCCTGTCTGGCGTACTCGCCCTTGTATTGGCCCTTCTAGGTGCCTCTCCGTGATTGGCCTGTGGGGGTGCTGCCCCCCTCCCCCCCCCCTCCTCATTGAGCGGACGGTACTTGTCCCTTTATTGGCCCCTCTGGCTGCCCTGCCCCTTGTGAATGGCCTGTCAGGGTATTCACCCCCCCCCCCCCTTTGACAGGCCCTTCTGGAGTACTCGCCCCTATTGGTCCCTCTAGGTGCTCCCCCTCCCCTCGTGATCGGCCTGTCTAGGGTTCTCGCCCCCCCCCCCCCCTTCCCCTTTTTATCGACACGTCAGCAGTACTCGTTCCCTTTGATCGATCCGTTTGGGATAATCCCCTCACCATCCCTCTGGTCGACCCGTATGGAACACCTCCCCCCCCCCCCCCATCTGATCGACACGTCTGGGGTACTCGCCTGCCCCCTCCCCCTGATCGATCCGTTTGGGATAATCCCCTCACCATCCCTCTGGTCGACCCGTATGGAACACCTCCCCCCCCCCCTCTGATCGACACGTCTGGGGTACTCGCCTGCCCCCCTCCCCCTGATCGATCCGTCCGGGATACTCGTGATCAACCCGTGGGAGGGGGGGGGGGGGGCTGCGGTCGATCAGCCGACATCTGCTGTGTGGTGGGTGACGTGTGCTACACCGGTGTGGAGTGCTGTGATGCGCGGGCCTGTGGTCTGCCAGGGTTCAGCGATATCGTCTGTTGCCCTTTCCGTTGACGGTTTTGTGGGTGGGGATGTGGAGATTATGCTTGCTGTCTTGGGATTAGGGGGATTATGTCCTGGATCTGCCATTTGGCGTACAAGGGACGACTGCTTTAATGTTTGGTTTGGGGGAAGACGTTCCCGTTGATGGATGTTATATTCAGTTGCTGTTACGATGTGTATGTGTTAGCCTTTCAATGCTGAAAAATGATTCACGTCTGTACGTTTCGACTGGTCCGTTCGTCACCTTTGTGTTTGTTTTGGTTACCTGTGCCTTCATGCTATGAATCGTCTGCGTGCAGACATGGCCACTTGGTCACATTGATTGAGATTATCATTTCTCAGCGATGTGTCATATTCACGTCTGGAAATTCTGTGCGAATATGGTGCTGCACACTGTGTTATTGAGGTCAATGAAGGTCTATGGGTTACGTAACTTGTTTTTATGCTTGTGACAGGTTCCCGAGAATGCAGCAGTATTCTGGCCGATCCGCGTATTGCTGGCAACCTTTCCGAGACTGGGCCAAACCGGTTTACATGTGCACGTGTCGCGGCCGCCGATGGCGACGCTGGAGGTGCGCGACCTCTCGCGCCAGCGGTCAGTGGGCCATCCGCTGCCTCAGGCGCGCCAGCCGCAGCCGTGCGTCTTTACAAATGGCGAAGTCTTATAGCGGGTCGCTGACGACGATGCCTCTGTAGGTCTGCTGGTGGGTTAGAGCTGACTCAATAGTTGCCTGCCGTTGCGCGGTTTGGGCCTGGCTGCGTTGGTCGTATGGTCGGCGCCGGCTATGATATTTTGTGGGTTTGTTTATATTTTGAGCTCGAGGCATGATGTAGATATGTCTTCAGAGTTTCCCAGTGAAACGCAGTCTACGTGGCGCGAAGGTGTCAATAGTGTTCTAACGAAGGTACGGACCTTGAACGACGAATTTACGGGATTTGAAATACCCGAGTGTTGCCGATGGTCCTATGAAAAGGCAATTTTCACTGGATGCGCAGAAAGCTGCATGCCGTCAAAATAATTAATCAGGTGTATTTCTGTCGTTGAGACTTATTTACGTTGTAATAGTCCTGAAACATTTTGTTTCAACATAGCGTCACCTGTGGTGAGCGAGTGGGCGGCAGTAGTAACTTCACCACAGCAAATTGTCCTTTTCTGTCACATGATTGTTTAATCTTGGAGCATCTTTCTGCATGGCGTAAAGGTCATTGACAGCGTAAAGGTGACAACGTTCTCCTTAACGTTTATTTGCTCGGGATATCTTTAGGCTTGGAAACTCGTTTTTAAGGCATGATTATCTGTTTGCCGTAGGCAAAGTACAAGTCAATTTGTACACTTCTTCGGTACGTGCGATATTGGTTAAATCACGACTAGCTTTTGAGTGCGCCTATCCGGGATGCGTTTGACTTTTCGTTTGCGAGAGTTGTGGTGGTTTGACTGGGATTGTTGCTCAGCAACGGCTGGGATCAGCGCCGGTGTCCAATAATCTCTTTATCTTCGCCATTGCTCCATTTTCGGCAGTTACTTCGTTCATAAGGTTTCGCGCCATGACTGGGTTAAAAAAGTACTGATATGGTTGATTTGCGAAAAGCATTCGACCTGCTCCGCATCATGGTGTTCGGGCTATCGGCTCCAATGATTCCATGTAGTTCCATGGGGTTCCAAAACTCCATTTCCCTAAACTCGCCAATCCGCCATGCTCACCATTCGGCCCTACGAGCGCAGTTTGTGTTTGCTAAACCCGTTCGACGGAGGAGGACTTGACACGGATCTGTATCCACTGGAACGTCTGGGAAGCAATCTATTCGTGGCTGAGGGCCAGATGGAGAGTGGAGGAGAATGTCATTGTGATTCGATTATCGCTGCGGTGGTGCAGGTGCCAGGCAGTGCTGGGGATCGCTGAATCTCTGCAAGGCTGTCTTTAATTTTATTACCAAACACTTGGCGACGGGTGTCGGCATTCCTAGCATTTACCATTAGCATTTTGGCATTCAACTGACCATAGCTCTTGGCTTGAGCAAGAGCTTAGGCGAGATCGGTTTCGGAAAAGGTTAAATCGGCGATTTCTGGTGGGTCTGAGGGGACCCTATGGGTTGGACAGTTGAAGAATGCGTCGGTGAGTTGTGGTCGGTCCGTCCGCCTGCTCCGTGCAGTTGGTTTTCCGTCTCCATCTCCTCTGGTTACTGTGGTCGACGTTACTATGAAAGTCCCAGAATGGGCGCATCCATTTTTATTTTTTTTTGTCCACGAGAGCGGATCAGAATTGTCTGCCCATTTTCACCTACGCTATTGCTTATTGGACTGCTCACTTACTCCTCCACCAGTGTCTGATAGTCTTGCGTCGCCGCGATACCCTGCGGTGGAGAGGCGGACTCAGTTTCGATAGAAGCGATTCGGTGCGCCAGAGGCGGTTCCAGTGCTCGAAAAAGGAGGGGTTCCAAACCGTGTTTCAACAAACAAATTATTCCGAACGAATTGCAACACCGTCTAGCAAAGCAGGTGTGTACGAAATAACTCGGCATCTTTGTACTTCAGCCAGTATTTGCACAAACGATCAATGTATACGGTGCCAAAGGCGTGCTTGGGTTCTTGCGAAAGGGGCTGCAGGGGAACGTAGCCTCAAACCTTTACCAGCAGTACAGCGTCATGAATGGAAAACGCAGGAAACTATCCGCTCATGTAAACCTGCTAGGAGGACAAGATCATTCTGAGCAGAGACGTTTCTAGAGTGAGAGTAAGGGGGGGGGCTTATATCAGTTGGAACAGGACAGCGCTTAGCGTAATGTTGCCTTCCATTCATCACTCCAGTGTCAGCAGCATCTTGAACTACCACAGGCAGGTCCAGGACCGACAAATGGCGGGATTGTAGTACACGAAGACCGTCGTCACATGCAGTGGACGGTCAGCTGGCGGCCGCAGAAATAGACAATGCTCCAGTCGCGTGTCACTCGCCCTCGTTTGGAAACTGGATACGCCTATGGCATGACACATGCTGCAAACACTACCATTGTAAGCATGCATGCTATATAGACACCATACTTTATTTACAACACATAGCTTCGTGGCCGGCAATGATCTGACTGGTCGCAGAGCTCCCTCCCCTTTCACCACCCCAGTAGACACCCATAGCTCGCTTATTCCTGCGTTTCTGGTAACAGGTAAGCACCACCCCATGTGCTCTGCATGTATTCATTCAGACACCAGTTTCCACTGGTTTTGTTATCTCTTCGCATCGCGTTCCCCGGATACGTCCAGGTATTCCGAATTTTGGAATGTTGCCGAAGTGTCGCCATGTCGCCATTAATATCAAAGCAGCCATCTGCGTTGGTTGCGTCGAAAGTAACTGATAAACGTGACAACTGCATCAGATAAAAAAATCCGTGATATTTTTTTCGATTTTTGATCCATATCTGTCACCTATATGAAGTCACTGCTACTTTCATTTTAGAAATGCAGATGTTATCAGGATAAACCAGTCAGCGTTTGACGCTTAATGATCGGCCCAGCAAACGGCACTATCACGGGGAGAGGATGCGATACCCCTCCCCCCCCCCCCCCCCCCCTCCGCTCCTCTCCCCTGCTCGGCTCGGAGCTCGGTCGCCGGGAAGCCCGCGCCCGGGGTAGGATTGGTTAAA